CTTTTAACCGTTAAAAATATTTCAAAAGAATACTAAAAAAATATCATGACATCGACAAGACATTGAAGATTGACAATATATTTTTTTATATCTTTTACTTTGTAAATAATTTGTAATTTTTTTTTTACTATTTTTTTCGCNNNNCGAACGCGATAAAAAAATATTAAAAATTATTTACAAAGTAAAAAAATATAAAAAAAATGCATGGTCAATTATCAATGTCTAACAGATGTCATGGTATTTTTTGGTATTTTTTTTAATTTATTTTTGCAGTTAAAGGACCCGTAGAAAATCGAAATGAAAAAAGTAGAGAGAGTGTGTGAAGGGCAAAAACGTAATTGGGGGGAGAGTGGTGACTAGTAAAAGGGGGCGGTAAATAGCGATTTACAATACAATTTTAACTATTTTATTAAAAAATATTTTAATATATTCATGTTGTAGCAAATTATTTTTACCGAGTACAGAATGACTCCCGACCTTGGGTCGATCTCACGAGGAAGGTGATTCGAAATTTAGTTTTGGTATTGACAACACATACAAAGGAAAACAAATCATAAACACTCTATTCACATAAGGGTTTTGAATAATTATCAACTAAGAAATAATAATAATAAAAAAAAAAACATGAATCTACCTACATATATAAACGAAACAATTATGAAGAAGCTAGGGAGTCGGGGATAACCATTTCAAGTTTTATTCGCAAAACTGGGAGATTAATCGTTCTATTTCAGATTGACGCTCTCGCTCAAACATCTAGCGGTTCGCTCCCAAATCCCAATAACACTTCGTAACAAGGGATTGAACATAGACGAGCAAACTCGAGCATATACACAGACCAATTATCCCAATCCCAATAACTTCGTAACATGGGAAGGGTCATCTACAAGAATGTGTTTCAATCCAAAACCCATAGACTATTCAATGACGAAATCATCTATTTCATGCGAGCCTAGGTCTTCAACTTCTCCCTTTCCGTTCTAAAAGTCGCTAATTATATTAGAAGCGATTTAATCAACTAATCATTTAGAATCAACAACACTTTACTCGAAAGATCAATATTCATATGTTTCCAATCACAAGATCGAAGTGTCACTCTTCGATTATATCAAACTATCAAGCAAGAATTATTCAACCCTAATTAAAGCAACTCGCACAAGAATTAACAAATTAAAGCCCAACAATAACGAATTTAAACAAGAACAATCATCTCATATCCCTAGCAATCGGAATTAGCTACGTAAAGTAAACTCAACACAATCAATCACAACAACCCAAGCATTCATATTCATAAGTTAAATGAAAAGGAAAGCGTACGATTGATAAAGAAATCCAATGTTGAATCCAAAGTATGAGCATAATCCGAAAGCAATGAAGAAATTCAAGTGAAAAACTTGATCAAGATGGTGTTCTTAGGGTAAGAGAAGGCAAAAAAACGAGTTTGGGGGATTCTTTTCGGTCTGGAAACGAGTCTCAATGCCAAGTCCACGAAAAAACAATCAAAATCAAGTTTATAAAAACCTGGCCGCAACCTCCGTGGCCGCGGGAATTCAGCTTCAGAGGTGCTTCGCGGCCGCGGGATTCCTCCCGAGGCCGCTGTGAAGAAAACTAGGCTGCTGCGAGCGGCTTTACGATTTTTGCTCGTTCGGGTTCGTTTTAACTCGGAATTGAGTTTTGTTTTTTTTCTACGCGTCGCTAACGAACCGCTCTATCTAACTAAGCAATCCCATCAAATATTTTCTTGAAAGCGTGTCCTCTCGGAGCTTCTTACCTGCACACCAAAAAATGAAAATAAAAATGAAAAACACCGGAAAACAAACGGAACACACAAGACACTCAAAATAACGCAAACACGCAATAAACGACAAAACGGCCTAAAACCCAACTAAATGACTCAAATCGGATGAAAAAGAATGATAAAACAGCAAAGGAAAATACAACAAAAATAAGACAAACAATTCACTAACAACTAACCATATCACTTTGTTTTTTTTTTAAAAAATAACTATATTAAAAAACAAATCAAATAAAAACTAATAAAAAGTAGTTGAATCCATAAACAATCATCCCCTAAATTATCCAATAACCTTAATTAGACATGTCAACGGGCGGAACCGGGCCCGGTTCCGCCCTCATAAGGCCGATTCGTTGAACCAGACCCTTAAGGTCGCGGTTCGGTCCTGTTTCAATTTTTTTTTGTCCCGCAGGTCCGGGCTAGGCCGCAAGTCGAACGGCGAGCCACATGTTAAATTTTTTTAAAGGGACGTACCGGCCCGTGAACCGTCGGGTCGGTCAACCGACGGTTCAGACCCGATTCTATGAACCGGCCCATATAAAAGGGCAAACCGGTCACGGGCCATGAGATTGAAGCCTGCCGACCCGGCGGGTCGGGGCGCGGCAATTGGCCATGTCACGTTGCATGTGGATAATCCTGACTCGCAAATACTTAGGTGCGCCCTGGCACACTTAGCACGGTAGTAACACTGTGTCGCCATGGGTTCTCCTTCTCCATAACCATAACCCAATCCTTCACATTTCCCTATGTCCTATATCCCTCTTCAAACTGCTATATAAATATCACTCTTTATCACTCACTATCCCACTCTCTGACTATACATACTTCCACCTAGGATATCACACATCAATAATCACAGCCAATCAATGGCTGCCGCCGTGTCCACCATCGGAGCTGTCAACCGTGTGCCGGCCTTGCCGGTATTTCCTCATCCCTTACATTTACTACTTTCCTTTAAAGAAAAGTAAAAAAATTAACAGTTATATTTATGCACGCAGCTTAACTTGAATGGATCGGGCCCGAACTCATCCTTCCTTGGATCCGCCTTGAAGAAGCCGATCCTAAGAACAGCAGCTTCCTCCTCGACTTCCGGAAACTTCTTCCGGGTTGTGGCCGAGATTGACGAGAAGAAACAGACAGACTCCGACAGGTGGAAGGGACTCGTGACTGACATATCAGACGACCAACAGGACATCACCCGAGGCAAAGGAATGACCGACACACTCTTCCAAGCTCCCACGGGTGCCGGCTTGAGCACTCACGACGCTGTCCTAAGCTCCTACGAGTACATTAGCCAGGGACTTCGCCAGTACGTAGTACAATCGATATGAACTATTAAGTCGTCTCGTTTTTAGTATAAAATTATAATTCTTTTCCCCCCCGCCTGTTTTGCAGATATAATTTCGACAACACGATGGGAGGATTCTACATTGCCCCTGCCTTCATGGACAAGCTCATCGTCCACATTTCTAAAAACTTTATGACATTGCCGAACATCAAGGTCCCGCTTATCTTAGGTATATGGGGAGGCAAAGGACAGGGCAAATCGTTCCAGTGTGAGCTCGTTTTCGCCAAGATGGGAATCAAGTGTGTCGTCAAACATTTTTCTCTTTTTTTTTTTTCGATATTAAGTTCGGTTAGTTTTATCCTTTTTAACAATCGGCAGCCCGATCATGATGAGCGCCGGAGAACTAGAAAGCGGCAATGCAGGAGAGCCCGCGAAGCTGATCAGGCAGAGGTACCGTGAGGCCGCTGACATCATCAAGAAAGGTAAAATGTGT